TCATGATTGTTTTTTTTATCAATAGGATGATAAGCACTTTGTACTATCAAGTCAGCTGGATATGTTTGAAAAATTTCATGACATACGTTCAAAGATTCCATTAAAAAACAAGATTTTAAATCCTGCCAATACATGAGTTAAGAATTGAAAGCGCATTGTGCCACAGTTATAAAAATGTAATGTTCTTCTTAATTCTTGATAATGATGATATAAATACTCATTTTTTTTGATTTTTTAGAGGACAAAAGGAAAACTTAATGGTGTTCAATTCATAGTTCAATGTAAAAATTGGCAACATAAAATTGGTATGTTTAATGTTAATAGAAAATTTTGTAATTTAGATATGAAAAATAATTTAAAAACACAAATAGGGCCAACATTATATGTGAAATGGTTGGTGTATTAGCTGAATACTGTGAATATAAACTTGGTGTTATAATTGCACTATCTACAGGTAGTTTCACCTTAAAAACAATAGAAAAAGCTAGAAAGTCCAAATATAATATTATCTTAACAGATATAGAACATATTTATTTGGATTTAGTTCAATTTGTTAATTCTCTACCTGAGTGTCAACAAATCAAAAGCTTTGACAATGTAAATATTAATCATAATATATATATTAATATAAATTCTTATTTGATTGTTTTTTTATTCATTATTTTTATTTTTCATTATTTATATTTCATTTATCTTAACATGTATATATTTTAAATAAATTTTTCCTTTGTATAAATTTTATTTCAGATAAAAGATGTAATTAAAAATTTTAATTAAAGAACATATACAATAAGCATTTACTCAAAAACAATTTTATGAAAAATTTCCATTTAAATGTATGCTATTCTCATGTATGCACTTGTATACATATTGATATCAACGATCTTGAGGAAATGAACCTCGTGTCATATTAATATGACTAACCCATCATTTGGATCATTTGTATAAATATATAAAGGGAATTTCTTATTGATCTACTTAAAATTCACAATTAAATGCAAAACAATCAAGAGAAAGAAAACCGACACTTCACTACATTGGGTATGTCATGTCTAACGTAGCTTTAACAAGAATCACCCTTGATGGCCCAAGAAATGGCAACAAATTTTTTTAAGTGGAAAAACACAATCTAAACAATTTAAATCAATTGATTTTCCTGATGTCTACATATGGAGGATAGATAATTTTTTTCTGAAGTAAAAACATGGACATCAACATCCATATAAAAATTTTATTGGAAATTTTTTTTTTGACAACTCCAAAGCCAGAGAAATTTTCACCCATACACCTTATTAGAGTAACACATTAAGATCGGTTCATATAACTCAGCTTTATTGATATATAAAAAATATTGTCAAAACAACAATATACAAATAAAGAAAATTATATTGCAGTTAAATACTGTAGACACAATAAATATCATACCCATATGATGCAAATTACTTCTTACCAAATAGTCGGCCAATGGTTTAATTGGACCACCCACTTTGCCCTTTCCGTTGTTTTAGCATAAAAATTATTCTGCTATCTACAAATAACTTGTAGCTATTTATTTATCCAAGTTATGAGATGACTTTCTCTATCCTTAACAAGTACAGTTGAAATTGTCATTGCATTTATAAAATCCATGTTCTCTGAAATTTCATCAACCCTTCGATCTTTACTCAGATATTATTATGATTAGTACCAAAGACTTTTATTCCCCTTTTCACACTATAATGTTTGCAGTCATCGTACTAAGAAAAACAAAACTATTAATTAATACATGAAGTTGTAGCTATATTTCTGACTCAAAAATTTATTCACAATGCGTACCTTAAAAAACATTCGATAAGATAAGAAATGAAACCTCACAAATCCGATTTATTTATATTGTTCATTTGCTTGACCTGAAACCTGCTAGAAAAAGAGATTAACATAATGATATAGTAAAATGCTTTTCACCTGCAATTAACGGAATCTCTGCCCCATAAAGCAGTTCTATTAAACCACAAGCGCAAAAAGGAAAGTATATTTCACCTTTTATGGGAAATTAAACCTTTCATTCTGGCGATTGCTTTTTGTATATAGAATGAAAAATAAGACAAATTTCGACGATCTTTGGAGATTGTAAAGATCTCAAGTTCCATAACAAAAAAAAAATCATTGTGAAACGAACAGATATTACATGTTCTGGCTATTTGTTTTTTCATATATCGAATATTAATATGTTTACGTTTGTGTCATCGAGCTAACTTGACTATTATTAGAAGTACATAAAACGTGTAAAAAGGTCAGTTGATATATTTGTGCGATTATATACAAGGATATCAAATTGGATTAACTACACATGTTTTAGATTAGATTATTATTATTAAAAAGAATCATTCGATTTTCCCCTAGAATATTAGATTACGACGTAAGGTAGAACAAGATTTACTAGAATGCCACAATGAAAGAGGTCTATTGGAGTTTAATCGAGATCGCCTTATGAATGAACTCGAAATAGCTGAGGATGATATCATCGATCAGAACCAAATAATAAATAATTTAAATCAAGAAATTTTACTGCTTCAGAATAATATACATATAAATAACAATCGAACAGGTATGTACCTCCAACATTTAATGGATACCCCATGAAGATCCAGAGGAATTTATTGATTCTTTTCGTTCATATCTTATAACCGCTGGAATTAATATAGCCGTTGGGCATGCTGATAAAATTCGAGCACATGGTCTTTTTGAAACATGCTTAAAAGGTGATGCTAAGGATTGGTATGAAAGGACTATTCGAAGAAAAAATTGGGAATTGAGAAATTTACTTGATAATAGACACAAGCTAATTTAGGTGCAGTTCAAGGACAAACGGCAGCCCAATTGGGGCACAAGCATTAAATCGTGCAAATGGGCTAAATGGTAATATTATAATTCCAGCTCATATAATATTTGATGAAGATTGGTCTTATGTTGATGGTCGACCAACAGATCGTTTACCTAATGCACCAAATGCTAATACAAATAATACTGTAGTTGTAGCTGGAATTATGCTTGGTCAAGTATATTGGTTAAAGACTAATTATCCTACAGTTACTGCAGAAAAACAACGAGTACTTTTTGGTACAACTATTCAAGGAAGTGATTCAGTTGGTCGTTTCTATTCAAAATTACGTAAACTTGCTAGACCTGCAGGTATTGATGAACAACAAATTCGATTACAATTTCTTCGTGGCGATAATCAATTGGAAGTTCGACATATTGGAATTAACAGATCTATAAGTGATTTGCTTACACAACTTGAAGAAATCGAAAGTTATGGTGCTTATTTACATTCAACTTCCAATTCTATATTAACAAAACATCCCCGTAATAAAGATAATTTTTCAGATAATACAGGTATGACTGAAACTGAAATCAGACACTTAGTAAGATCTATGATGCCTTCTTCACAACAAGATAAATCTTCTCAAATTCACGAAAGAAAATTATTACGTCCTAATCAAATGGAACCTGGTAAAATATATCATCGTCCAGAATTACGTCTTAATGATCAAAAGTATATGAGAATGGATGATGCTTTAGATCGTCTTAGTGCTTCTACTAAACCAAATAATATATCATTTCTACAGGCTCTTAAGGAGGTTATTAAAGAAGAAGTGTTTGATAAAATTTCACCTTATTTATCAAAAAAGAAAAATGGAAATGAAAATGAATCAAGGAATGAAGCTGATTCTGATGAGGAGCTTTCTAATTGCATGAGTAAGTTATCTATAAATAAAGCTATATCACAAGGAATAGTGGCAGGGGTTAATGTAGTTAAGAAATCATTTCATCATAGATGTTCCAATTGTAATAAAACTGGGCACAATTCCTGCAATTGTCCTCGTAAGAAGAGAAAATCTAAGAGTAAATCCAAGAAAAAAGCTAAGGTTAATATGACTACTATAGAATCTAGTTCCGATTCAAGTAGTAACTCTTCTGATAATGATTCTAATTCTTCATCTGACTCTGAATCTGATTCTGGATCCGACTCTGAAGACTCTTTATCTGAAATTGAGAATATTCAGGTTAATATTTCCAAAGTAAAAAAAACAAAAAAAAAGTAAAGAATAAAGCATCTTCCAGAAAAAAATCTAAATCCCGTAAAATAGATCAGTCAAAGATTCTGGGCTCCACCAATACTAAGTATTCTACTACTCGAAAGGAAAAAAATGATCCCGTTTCTAGCAAGAGAGAAAAAAATCCAAGCAACATTATCGATAAACGGATCGTAGAAATTATGCTAGAATTATTAGATGGGACTCTGTCTGTTGATAAAATAGAAAAAATTAAACTAGATATGGGATTAGTATATCAAATGCAAAATTAGATTTTGAAAATTATCGAGATCCAGCCCCAGTAATATCAGAATCAGATGGGGAAGAGGAAACATTAGATGATACTATGGAAATAGATTTTGTTCAGAAAAAAGAGCCAGCTACAAGTGTCGCAACCATTCAATGTAAAATTAAACATTTAAAGATCCCGGCAGCCATGTTGATTCAGGCGCAGAATGTTCTATCATGTCTCATAACTTAGCTAAGCGATTAGGATTGAAAATTAATACAGATGAAAAACATGATCTCAGTGGGGACGCCACAGTACCAACTACATCAATTGGAACTACTTCTGAGGTTTCTATAAACCTGATACCTGGTTGTAGCTTACGCGAAAAATTTGTTATTGTTGAGTATCCTAAGTTTTTATTGGCATTTAGTAATCCTCTTCTAGATAAATATAATTATTATTTACTTGCGTCTAAGTGCGAGTTAAAAGTTACATGTGATGGCAAAGATTTCTTTATTCCAATAACTGTGCGTAAGATCAAAAATAAAGATTGAAGTAAATTGCGTAACTACAATACAGAATACTGATACCTTGATTCCCGATCAAATGAATAACTCTCTTCCTAACTCTTCTCTTGACCATATCTCTCGATATAATCAAAATAACCTTAATATAATGAATGTTGACAAAATGATTGTAAACACAACCAATATTTAAGATATACGATTAAGACAAAACATGAACGATATATGAAAAAATCGAACAAATTTATTTAATAAAAACAAAATTTACAACCCAAAAAATGTTTTTTTTGCATGTTTTAATAAAATTTCCATTGTTGCATCATTTATCGCTGATTCAACATCATCAATTGTATTTTTGATATTTTTGATATTTTCGATAAACTCACTTTTGTTTAATCTTTTCGTCATACTCTCTTTTAGTGCGTTGACATTTTTTTTTGATTTCGAATTGAAGATAGTCAAAGACATCAAACATTTAGATTGGCACCTTTGTAGACAATGATTGTCCACACGTGAGTATATACACTACAATTATTCAAATTAGTATAGTTAGTATAATCACAATATATGTAATCGCAAAAAATGTTGTAAATGGTTTCCTAGAAGTAACAAAGCCTTTGGAAGGTGACGATCGGTTATTTCGTAAACTAAAGAAGGCAATTTGTATGAGTTAATACCATTATATGAAGTTTTAGTAATCAAATGATACTGATTTTGTGCTTGATATATCTTCGTAAACACATCTAAAAGCAATACAGCACGCTTTCGGGAAAGCATATGCAATTGCTTCGGTGTATATGGATATTTCATAGAACCTATGAAATGTTGTCGAAAAGTATTATCCTTTCGATGCTGAAAAATAAAACGTGCCTCCTTTTTCAGTTTTTGTGCGGTGGATAATATGTGAAAGGAGAATTTTAGTTTGAAATGAATAGAAAAAAAGGTTTTAAAAAATTTAAACTTTAAACTTACTATATACTATAATTTGCGTTGTAAAACTAATTTCGTTTAGCAACATGATGTTAATCGATATTTAAAGTTGTACAACTCAATTTAAAAGTATGGTGCAGGACCCTAGTCCCTACAACTTTCTGCGCCACAACGACAGATTTGGGAAAAAATTCACAATCAAAAATAAAATTTTTACAGTCACGTGTTTTAAAAATAGGTTTGTCACGTTGCATTCTCTTTATTAGTATCACATGATAAAAGATCTGCAATACAGATTTCAAAATTTTCAATTCTTCCAATTCGTTCATTTTTAATATAAAAAATTTGCGTGTAACACGTCACTTTGGGGGATTAACATATATAGTAAATTTGTTAAACTTGTGCAACTTTAAGGCTTAATTCCTCCACAACAACATGACATATCAACAAAATGAAAA